TCACCCTGCATCGGTTGCCGGGAGTCCCGCTGGAGTTATCGAACCTGGTGAGCCAACTATCCTCGCCACTTCTCCCCCGCACGAAGAGCTCAACAACCATTGTCAACGGCTGCCGTCACCGTTGTCTTCCACCCCTCGACTCAACAAACAATGAAAGAAAGAAAAAAAAACTGTACCCAGGTAAAATCTCCAACCCTCCCGGTCCCTCCTCCTCTCTGAATGAGACCCTCATTTACTCAGCTACCTCTGCCACGGTCGTCTTTCTCAGATGGAGGGACTGACTAATAGTCACGTGACTCAGACTAGGGAGACTTGTCGATTTTTTTTCCTCACAAAAGAGTTAGAGCCGTACAGAAGGACTAACATGACGTAAACTACACGAGCTGCTGACGTCAACGACCAAACACGAATTATCCAATCAAAATTCAGCTCAGAACGATTTCAACGGAAATCTCCACTTAAAAAGTTCTTTTTTGTTTTATGTCATGATCGTTTCCTGAAAAATTGATGAAATTCAATAACGCAATAAATTTTAGAAACATCATTTTAACTGTCGTATTTAAATGATTAAACCATGCTCGGTCGATGATGATTTTTAATCAACAGAAGAAAAATAAATTCTATGTCGGAGATAAAATGTTCCTTTTTGTTAAAGCGCCGAAATTGCGATACTATCGTACTTTTTCTCGTAAAAAAATACTCACTACAATTAAAACAACACTAAATAATTAATAACGCACTCAAAATAAAAAGCCACACTAAATTTTTTTTAAAAATTTGAATGTGTATGGCTCTACGGTTTTAACTCATTACTCAAATTTAAAATATATCGATGAGGCTAATGTTTGTTTTTCACTCATCTTATATGCTCACACACACTCTTTCTCTATCTCTCTCTCTCTCTCTCTCTCTCTCTCACACACACACACACACACTCACACGCACGCACATATGCACACACACACGCGCTACCACTTGCAGACTGCAGAGATCTGTGCATGAGGGTTTGATGACTAATTATCGATTTTAAAAAAACAACCGAAGAATCGACTGTAGCCTTTGTTTGATTTTAAACGGACACAACGTAAAATCGGCCATTAAACGGATACACCATATAATCGGCCACTAAACAGATGCACCATAAAATTGGCCATTAAACCATACACTATACAATCTGCCTTTTGTGAAAGTTCCTTTAACGATTACATATTTTACGTTTATTATCGATTCATTTCATCGCTGTAAGCGTATAGAAACTGAACTGCCCATTTAGGTCATAAAACTAATTAAAGCAAGAAAAAACACCGTCATTTTACAGCTAATTACATCCGTTAAATTATTTAATACTTTTAAAATGTATCATATAACTTCGATTAATTAATGATGAATAAAAAAATAAAATAAATGTAAACATTTTAGACTTAGTAAATTTACTTTATTTTATTTTAAAATATAATCGATAATTGTATGTAACCTAAAACGAAGTTCAACAATACTAAAGTGAATTATTTCGTTGTAAACTAGGAAAAGTTTTTTGTTGTATCATAATGAAGAGAGAAGAGCTCAATACGAAGCCTTAAAAATGTTACAAATATGTAGGCTAATAAAAGAGGTAAAATGTCGAAAATAAAATTCAAAATGATATTTTTGTGAATAAAGAGATTGATTGGGTATCAAAATTTTTTTTTGTACTAACTAAATGTTTGTATATGTTTTTTTGCTATTGGTTTTAAAGAAAAACGCATTGCGTTCATTCACGTAATAATGCTTTTGTATTGTTTAATCCTGGAATAAAATTAAAATCCGAATTTCAGTCAAATAAAATAAAATAAAAACTTTTAAAAGAAAGCTTTAATAATTATTTGTTATGCCTACAATGCCTTTTCTAATGCATTTTAGATAAAGCAATTAATAAAATGGTGTTTATCATAAGCGACACTGTCTTGTTTAATTTTTACTTTTTCCTGTACGAGGTACAGTTTGGATAAATCGTGCGAAACCCCAATTTTGCAATCTTGTATGTTTTTGTGAGTATGACAACAGCTTTAGTCAGGCGGGCGGAATTTCGTATATAATATTCTTTTTCTTACAATCTTTGAGCAATTTCCGGTAACACGGAGGTGGTAAGTTATGTCCTGTTTCTAAAAAAAAAACCGATAATTTGAGTACCGTTTCAGTTAGATGGCCTGACATTTATATACGTAGGTTTCTACAAGCTTTTATTTTATTAGAATGCTCTACATCGCCACTTATTGTTTGTGGGGACGGAATTGGGAATTCGGTGGGGTGGGGGGGGGATTGACTAAGGCTTCTTTAAAAGTATATTATAATCACTTGTGATTAATTAGGAAACGTTTAAACAAAAATATATTTCATAATAACTGTGCTTTATTTTAACACTAAGCTGTGACATCTTCTTAAAAGATTCGAATCATAAAAACACTACAGGTTTTAAACAAACTTGTGAAACAAGTGCTTGTGAATGCTCTAAGCGATGATCCCACATAATTGTGTTCGCCTTAAGCGGCGGCCATTGTTTTGTTTGAGCGTGCGCAGCGCCGCGCGGTGCGAACAATGGGGACAAAAGATGGGAATGATTCATAGTCACGGAAGATGGGAATGATTCATGGGCTCGTAAGATGGGGAACTTCCATCGCACTTTAAATAGAAAATGGTCTACAACGCGTGCAATGTGTGTGTGTACATTTCATCATGCAAAATGTGCTCATACATGTTGGGGAAATTCCGAAATAAAAGTTTTACTATTTAAAGACTGTCGGGGCCCTTAACTTGTCAATAGAACGTTAGTATGTTTGTTCAGCTCTTACGCACCTTTAAAAATTTAATTTTAAACGGTTTAAAACAAAAATCTATTAGCTGGCGTAAATTGGAAGTTAATTCTAACGCTTATTAGCGCGGCATATTGAGTTTTGGCATTGCATAAAGAGAAAATCTGGCCAGGTAGTGCCGAACCGACTCACCTGACTCCAGTTTAAAAATAAAATTGGTCTAATCGAAATGTAACCCTGGTCCCAACGTTTAAACAAATACTATTCAATAATTTAAAAACGGAAGTCTGCGAGTTTTTAATTAGACGAGGGAAAATAATTCTTTAATCAATGTACGTCTAAGGCAGTATGACGTATAATTTGGTCACGTGTTTCTATGAATCACGTGATAATTTTTCTCCAGTATGTACACGTCCTGCGAGCGAGGTTTGCCGTCTGCGTCCTTTCATATGGTTGAATCACATGTGGCGTGTGGCTTTGCTTGCCATCCAGACAGTTAAAATAACACTGACCACTATTATAAAAAAAAATAATCAATAACATATGTTAGCTAATTTTGTTGTAAGTTTTTGGCTAATGCCAGTTTTTCTCGCATTGCCGGTGAAAACAAAAGAAGAAAGACTTACACATTTAAATGGCTGAAACATTTACAACAGCTCTAGAATAGACTAGTGTTAAAGTCGATTTTAAATGGCATCACATACTTTTAATTTGTTTTTTAACCCCCCCCCCCCTAGGGTTGCCAGGTGTCCAGTTTTGAACTGGACAGTCCAGTATTTGAGCAGACTGTCCAAGATAAAATAAATATAAATACTGGACAAGTATATTAATAATACTCTGTTACCCCCCCCCCCCCCTTCTTCTGCTTTGCGGCATACCTGAGAAGGGAAGGATAGAAAGGTGTCCAGTATTTGCGGAAAAGGTATCTGGCAACCCTACCCCTCCCTCCCAACTTTCCATTCTACATAAGATACAGTCTACACTAAGGCCTTTTGTTTTGACTTATCCCAAATCCTTGCTGAAACCTGATAAAAAAATGTTTAAATATGTTTTGAAACGCAATTTTTTAATAGTATTTTCTTAATATCCCCCTCCCCACCTTTCCCCCACCCTCCGTGACAAAACTCCTAAACTTATCCAGAGGTGTCGCGATGCGGGGGCGGGGGGGGGGTGACACCAAAAAAAACAAACAAGATTTATAAAATGATTGTTTTATTTTGCCAGTTTTATGAATGCTTACTTAGAGTTAAAAGTATTTTAAGTACATGAATGCTATCCAGACAATGGAGGGATTTGGGGGGGGGGGGGGAGAGGCGGTTGACACCATGACGTAAATTTGCTAACTTTAGATAAAACAATGTTACATCCAGCTGTATTAACAACCGACTATAGATAAACATCATTCGTATTAAAGATTTTACCGGGGGGGGGTGGGGGTGGAGGTGGCACCAACGGTAAAATTCACAGAAAAATTGGGGTGACACCATACGGTGCCGCACCGGGGGACACTAGACCTAGCGACGCCACTGTCTTTATCCACTAGTAGATGTGTGGCGTCGCTTATGGATAACCACTATGATTATGAGCATGTTAAAACTGAAATCCAAGAGCCAGGTGAAGTAGAGTTCGCCTGTTTCTGTGATCTCGGCAAAAGAAATAGTAGTGTGGTCAGCATTATGCCCAGCCGCTTTTAATTTTCTCTAACGTGAGTCATCAACTCTGGGTTCTCGAGCCCATACTTAATCGTTAATCTCGCGACATCTAATTTTAAAGTAAATATATAGAGCCGTGTCATGGTGGTGTTGTAGACAGTTTTAAAGATAGTAACTTTGTCCTCACGAATCGTTATTTTTCAAAGAAACTGAACTAAGCATACTAAAACAGCATAAAAATAATAAACATTAAATAATCCACCAAAATTAGTAATAATTCATCACTGGGTTTAAGATAGGCCTAACACTACGACGATTGTCATTTAGTTTCGCTTATAATTGGTGCTCATGGCAGTAATTAGTTATAATTATTTAAAGAATGTTTATTCATTTTAATTCGTCAAAATATAGATCTAGTTAAGTTTTATTTTGTCAATATGTCATGTCAGCTAGGGTTCTCATAAAAGGTAGAGTCTAGTACGTATATTTTAATTTCCATATTCATTTATTTAACAATGTATACTTAATTTCTAGAAAAATAATTCTATCCCGCAAAACCTTTTAACTCAGGATAAAAATGAAATTATTAATTTATATTTTGGCGAGTAATCTAGGTAAAGTTGGTAAATTATAACCGGAAGCACCTTCGACTTCCGTAAACGCTTTGCCTTCGAAAAATGGTATCTACAAAACCGATTTATTACCCTTTATTTATATTTAAATTATCGCGACATTTGTAATCACCATGTTTTCTCATTTCACAATATCCTAATTGGATCTATATCTAATTACACAGGGACTATATAATGAGTTAATATGTGCCTATGAGTCAATTTTTTTTAATGCACAGGGTAGTTGGTAGCACTGAGCAGGGGTAGTGTTTGTTTGGCAGTTTGTTATTCTGAAAATAAAAGTTTAAGTAGGCTACATCATGGGCCTGAATCTAGATGTCTTTATTCTATGTTACCTACAAAAATAGAGTAAAAAATCTTAATTTCCCCAATGGAGCATATTTTTTTCATTTTACTAAGCCACCCTAGCAAAATTCAACTTTCAAGTCATTCTCTTCTTCACAAAACTCCATTTTAGCATAATTGATTTGCTGCTTAACGTTCACCTCCAGTTTTGTTTGGTGTATTTTTACTATTGTGCTTGAAATGAATAATACATTCAGGTGGAGGTGAATGAGAAGTAGCAAATAAATAAACTATAAACTAAAGTTGAGTTTTACTCTTATTCAATTCCCAAAGCTGGTTTCTTGGGGTCTCCCACTTTTTCTTGATCCTTGTAAATTCCATGATAGATTTTTTTCTGTTATTATTTATTTTGCCAGTTTCCTGAACATAAGTTATGGCCTATTCATCTCGACCTTATCTGAATTTCTTGCTCCTCTGGGATTTGTCCTGTTTATTCTAACACTAATGATGTGTTAAGTACTTTGTCAAATCACTTGATATTTCAAATCCACATTAGGCTTTTTAGAAACTATTTTAGCTTGTTCTAGTCCCCTTATGTTTGTGTTAAGTTTTCAGCACTATTCAGTAAAACATTTGAATTAGGCCTAAATTTCTTGAATTTGGTCTTGTTAGCCGCTTGCTTGATGCAAAGCACCTCTTGCCTGCTCCAGAGCCACCTATACATATCAACTATACTTCTAAATATAAACATTCTTCTGCTTTCAGTTTTTCCACATATCTCACCTGGCTCAATGTTATTTGTGTTTATTCTTAATATTTTATACTCACTTTCATTAATTCTGTCTGAAATGTATAGAAAATGAGCCTAGTTCATGCATTTTGTCTCGGGCATTTGGATAATAATGAAATCAATGTCCATATAGACATTAGGCTATAAGCATTTAATTTATTTACCCTTTAGGTCTATACCATAGTATATGTATTGTAAGGTATATCTAAGGAGTAGGTATGTAATTAATAAAATTATGAAAGTACAAATTTTTTTTACTAAATACATTTTTTTAGTAACGAGTAGGGAACTCAGCAAAATTCTAAAAATCCCTATTACGAGGAAGGACTATTAAATTATGTTTAAGAACAAAATTTATTAGGGCTTATAATTTAAATTAATTAGGCTTAAATTTTACATCACTACAATTTTGGCTAAAAGATCAGTATCAGCATTAGATTGGAGACTAAGTAAACAAATACACACTATTTTCTTACTTGCAAATATTTTTAAGCTTAGATTGTTTTCACTTTTTTTTTTATTAACAAGAAATCATTACTTGAAATTTTACTTATATTTGCTGGTTAATGTTACATATTCTTGAAATTTGTGTAGGCTATTCTTAATCTAGTTTGCTTTACAAACAATCTGATAAATATAACAATATCAATTATAAACATGTTTTCATCTCCAGTTGTTCTATTCATTTTTCAAGTCCCTTGTGGGGAAAGAAGTTGTGGTTGAGCTAAAAAATGATCTTTGGTAATTTTCATTTTATGAAAAAATTTTCTCCTATAGACTATATCTTGCAAATTTATTTAATCTACAATCAAAATGTTTGATTTGCGAAAAAAATTATTACTAATACCTAATTAACTATTTCTGTTTCTTTTATTTTTTCTAGTATTTGTGGGACTTTGCACTCAGTGGATCAGTTTTTGAACATCAAACTTACAGATATCAGTGTTACAGACCCCGAGAAGTATCCTCATATGGTTGGTTCATCTTATTTAACACTTTGTATCTGTCATCAATAGAACAGTTAATCCCATAGTTTGGGCTCAAGTCTGTAGGACTTCCTTGAGTCCACCCAGCTCTGAAGGACACCTAATTCATGGTTGGGAAACAATGGTGGCTGAGAATAGTGCTGACCACTCAAATATGCTGAGGTCATATGTATTTGAACTTGTATTTCTTTAAATTATAATCATAGCCTCCGTTTCTTTTACTAATTAGAGAAGTTAAACACATGAACATTTTCTTCCTTTGTTAGACATTTAATTATGCTCTAATTGTAAAATGCAAATTATTTGATCAAGCAACACTTCCAATGTGGAAGACTGTATATGTTAAATATCTTATTGTGGTATTTGTGTTTCAGTTGTCTGTGAAAACTTGCTTTATTAGAGGATCTGTTGTTAGATACGTCCAATTACCAGCCGATGAATGTGACACTCAGCTATTACAAGATGCAACTAGAAAAGAAGCAGCCCAAAATAAACAAAGATAGAGGTTTCAAAATGTATAGTTTAAATGCTGTAAAAGTTCAATTGACTGTTTGTCTGCACTGTGTGAAATTCAGAGAAATAGCTGTGAATGCTGGTTTAAATGATGCTTTTTAGAAAGAAGGAGAATGAAAGTAGTTGTTATTTCTGTGATGAATTAATTTGTGTATACTGATTGAACGCGTCTAGATTGTCTGTTTTTTTTAACTGCCCCTTTTATATAAAATAAAGCTTGGAAGCAACCGATTCCCGAGAATGTTGTTTTAAAAATTTGTTACTGATGTCAGTTTTTTTTTGTTGATCTTAATAATAGTCAAGGGGCAGTAACAAAGTAAATTACGACGTGGCCGTTTTTTATTTCTTTGTCCTCTTAGACTTGTGCCAGACTTGATAGTTTTCACTTTATTTCTTGTAAAATTTAGTTTGTTCATTTACTATATTATTTTTTTGTCAAATAGGGTCTATGTTTCTTTGTATAAATGAGTACATCAAATCAAATGTTTTTATTATTCAACCTGCATCAACCATTTAAAATAGGTCATTTTAAATCCACAGTTTAATGTCATGTTAACTGGTGGCTGCTGAGTTCATAGTTTTATTTTCTTTGCTTTGGATGAACATTTTCACTGAAATGTTGTATTAAACTAAACATGCTTTTACACCATGTAAATATTTGTGTTATTATTTGATTTCTTTATTAGAGCTTAGTTAAAAAAAAACATTACTGAATCATGAAGTAGACTTTAGTAGACAATTGAATTGAAAAAAAGAAATATAATGAGATTACCTTTTTGTATAAGTCTTGATTCCAGGAAGGAACAGATAGCTAACCAGTACAACATACAAAATGTATCTAATTTTTCGTTGTATGTAGAATGCCTGTTAATACTGTTATAAATAAATATGGTTATTAATATTATACAGACAAAAGGTAAGGAGTCTGAGTTGGTAATGGTAGGATAATTTTTTTTTTTTTTAAAGTTTTGTATTTCACCTTGTACTTGTAAGTTGCAGGTATGACATATAGCATTGTTGTAACATTCAAACATAACATGAATTAGTAGCACACTATTCAAACATCAAATGAAGTTGCAATACTACTTTATTCAAACATAAAATGAAGTTGTAACAGTACTTCATTTACCAAATGTAACATGAAACAAAACAATTTTAAAATTACAACATTTTAAATACCATACTGTTTGTTCTGGCTAGTTGTTGATGTATCAGCTGGCTTTGAGAGATTTGACTACCATAATTTGAGACTACTACCAAACTTAATGGAATTAACCAGACAAAACTACCTGGTTCTTAAATATAACTTGATGCACAACCTAGATGAGTACCTTTCAATCACACAGCAACTACCTTACATAAATACTTCACATGTGAAAAAGAGTTCATCTTTCTTGGCATATGGAATGATGGTGTCAGCACTATGCCCAGTCGCCTTTACTTTCCCAAACATGAGTCAGGTACCTATCAGAGCTGGGTGGACTCAAAAATGTTATACAGTCTCAATTCTGGACCAAACCCAACTTGAAATCTTTGGGCTAGTAGCGGAACGCTGCATCTTTTGACCATGCTGTCCCTTCCATACCACATTACTATTATTTATTTATTTACACAAAACTCCTATATACAAATACTCTCATACCTAACAATATGCAACATTCACTTCATAACAAAGGGGTAGTTAGAGATATATGAGATGCTGCCATACAGATCGTACTTTGGTGAGAAAAAAGCGATTGTGGTAAATTCTGAAAGTAAAGCAGGCTGAGGTGTTGAGTTGGTGGGCCATATGGCGCATAACATGTTGACATGTAATATTTAATTGTGTGGAAGTAAATTCCCTTCAGTATTATACAATTAAAAACAAAGAAGAAGAAGTCTTCATAAGAGTGTTTCTGTTGACTTAACTATGTAATTTGTAAAAGAAATTTCAAGTACAGTTCTTGAGGGGCCGGTGCTGTTGCCACTATTTGGTCAGATTTTTTTCCATCTTTCCTACCAGTGTCTCAAGCTCTTTTTCCTTCAGCAATGTGAGCGCCAGACTACAAAGCCAATAGCCAAAACGTTCTGTCTTGATGCAAGTCATTTGCTCACAAGTGTGATCATTGATGTTTATGGACCTCGGGTCCCATCTAAAGGCATCTGTGTAGTTCAGGAAGGCATGTCCCTTGGGTCCGGCACCATTGATACGTTTTTTATGATTATGACAAAATAAATAGTTGTGACACCTTGTGTTATGAAATTGTAATAAAGCATGTTTCAATGCCAACATCAAAACCACAGTTTAGAGAAAATAGCATGTTTACTTGGAAACATTTGTAAAGCCTTGAATGCAGTTAGAAGGTGAATACTAGTGGTGTCAACTTAATCATTGTGCCATTATTGATAGTAATGATAGCTTCAATTTTGGTGACAAAAGAAAAAAATGTTAGTTCAGGTATAACTAAGGGGTCATCCATTTATGGGTCGGGTCCATGGACATCAACAAGTTGAATTAACCTTCGAACATTGAACTCATATACTGCATGGATAAAGTAAGATTAGAGTGCTCTTGGTTTAAAAAAAAAGGTATCAAAGATAATATTATTAGTACGAGCCGACCCGCGGCGTATCATATGCCGCTATTTAGTTGTTTTATTTTCTACTTTTCAGTAATTCATAATTTGTGAATTCGACAGTAATAGTGCTGCTACAAACAATATTTGCTTTAAAACACTATCAGTAGGTCGTTAAGGATGATACTACCCCAACCCTCCTTTCCCCCAACCCCTACCATATACCCCCCCCCCCCCCGTGAAAGCAGCCTCAGTTACCTCCCCTAAGTTTAAATTATCTGCCCCTAATAGCCGTCACTAAACCCGGCTCTATGATTGTAAACATTTGGCGTGAACCACAGCACAGCTCACCAGACCATTGTGGGGGTGGTAGGGATATGCCTAGAGAGGAAGAGAAGGGGCTGTTAGAGGGTCGTCCATAAATGACGTCACACTCGTAGGGGGGAGGGGGGTCCGTAATTTTGTGACGGTGTGTGATGAGGGAAAGGGGGGGGGGGGTTCAGATGGTGCGACGTCACAGTTTTGCATTACAAAAAAGCAATGTTAGAAAACGAATTTTAGACGTTATTTTGCGTTTTAGAAAAAAATTCAATTGCAATTTTGAGGGGGGGGGGGGGGGGGGGTTGTAGGCTGAGGTGTGACGTCATTTTCGGGGGGGGGGGGGGGGGTCTGGCTTTTTGTGACGAAGGGGAGGGCGGGAGGTAAAAATCGTCCAAAATAGCGTGACGTCATTTATGGATGACCCCTAGGCGCGTTTACAGCTTGGTGTTTTCTAGGGTATCCAAGAAGAGAATTTATTATTAATATGGTGATCCACGCTTTTTATACTATTTAACTATGGTTATTTATTAATATTTAAATAGTAGTGTATTAATTATTATTTATATATTTCAAGAAAATCATTATTTTCTCATTTTCTCCCTTTTAGTGCATTATTACATAAAATGTTGTTATTAAAACGTTTTTTATACATATTTTTCTCTAAAATATCTACTAAGCTTGATCAACGATGAGCATTGAATAGATTTATAGAATGACCCACAACATTCAACTTCAACATGTGAACATTAAATATTTTTTAAGTTTGTGTGTGTAGTCGTCAACATTTCACCCAACGGCCAAAAGCATTTTTTTTTTTTTAAATTAGAATAATAAGATCTATCTAATTCCTTTAGTGAATTTACTGATTATAAATTAGATCTAGAGTCTACATTTCGCTTTATTTGACTTGACGGTAAATCCGTTTAAACTAGATCTAGAATTAGAATCTAGATCTATATTTATCTCTAGATCTAGATCTAGACTAGACTCTAGATCTAGAATCTAGATCTAGAAAATCTAGTAATTTTTTTGTTGTGAAAATCGCTACAACTTTTTGCAATTTTCTAATTTCACACAGGCTAGGCAAATAAAAATACATATTTCATCTCAAATCAAGTAAATAGACGAGACACTAATTACCAATAGTATAGTGATAAATAATTCTAATTTTCATTAGAATTCATATTAGTCAATTATTTTATAAAAATAAATTTAATTTTCAACATCATTATGGCTAATTTCCAGCGGAAAACTACCTAGGGCCTAACTAGAAAGACATTTTAAGGTATGGCCAGTGTTCCTTATGTTTTTATCTGGCTAAGCAAGTTGTAGTTTTTAAAAATCGTCTGCATCGCACACACTGGGTGTAAATACTAATAATGTGACTTAATGCTAGATCTAGGACAATATCTAGACCAGTTACCAGATGGATGTAAACAAGCAATGTAAAGGCTACTAAAAATATGATAGTTATTGCTATTTTAGCTGCACACGAAAGCATCTAAATAAGCTATATTGATTATAGATCTAATTTAAATTTTTTAATCGCATTTGGTTTTGAAACAGCCAGGAACAAACCGCCAAATCAGCAGTTCAAAACAACAAACAAAATCAATAAAATTATAAATTAACAACTCAATTCAATTTCAACGCAATATTTTATTTTAATATTTACTAAAATGTACTTAGGTCAATGTTACTGTTTAATTAATTGTCTAGATCTAGATCTCTAGAATTCTATTCTAGATCTAGATTCTACTCCAGATTTATAGACTTGTTTGTTATATTCAATAGGCCTATATTGAAATATATTGTTAAGATTAGTTAAGATTAAGAATGACTGAATGAGTGTCCTGTACTGTATGACCAAGCCAAGATATTATTATTAAGCTCTAGAGTCTATATATATATAATATATAATATCTAGATTAAGTTTAAGACTAAGATAGATGAGTAACTTCAATTTGAGTTGCTGTTGTACCCAGCTATTGAATGAAGCGAGGTGTTAATATTAAATAAATAGGCCTATCAGTAGGGCCTATAATATAGGCCTACAGCAATGTGGAGATTAAGTGCCAATTTACCTTGATTTGATCATTTGATGTAGACTTGTTTCACTTATCTTATGTATTAAATTTATTTGTGGCTGTTCTTTACAAGAATGCACCAAAGTAAAAATGCAACATGCAGCTTCACTTAGGTCTAGATTGTTTGATAGTCTAATTAGTAAATGTAGGGCTCCTAACTACAAACAATTTAGCACTTTAAATTGACTAGGGGGCCTATTAATTGGACTATTGATATACGCCCTAATATGAAAAGATTTTTTTTAAAGTTTGTCATAGCCTATCCTATAGTATAGCTAGGCCAATAATAATTAGCCTAAAGGCCTTATTAAGGCATGTGTCCTTTATTATTCTCATCAACTTCCATTTCAGGATGCAAAATTATTGCTAACATTGAAATATACTAAAATGGAGAGCAGTGAAGTGGTCAGTGATTCAGAATTAGAGTTTGGGGTAAGTAATTATTTTACAAAATCATGCCCTAAAAGCCAAGCCTTCAAATTTATATGGATCATCATAAAACTCTGACCTTCAATATAGTACATTCAAATTGTTAAAGGGTGTGGACTGTTCCATCTTATTGAGCAATTTTTAGCTCTGAATGTTGCAATTTATTTTAGTTTCTGATAACCTTATTTTAATTAGGCCTATTACTACTTTTTAAAGACCTAACATTTACCTGCTTATAGTGTCCCTCAACTGATTCATCTGATGAAGACCTGCCAGCTGAGCTTGTTAGCCCTGGAGTGCGAGTTGCCCAATTTTGTAATAAACTAAGGGAACAGACAAGGCCGCTTTTAAGCTTAAGTCAAGGGGTACCATCTCCTACAAAACAGCTCAGAGATGGCAATAACGATAAGCTTAAAGAATCTAAAGCCAAAAAGAGGCTATTTAGAGGTAAAATGTTACTTATTGTCAGCTTTGTCTTTTTTTGTTTTTATGATAAGGCAATAGTCTAATTATAAAGAAAGTGGAACACATTTCTGTTTATTATAATATTCTATATTAAAATAACACTTGCTATGCTTCTCAAAAGTAAATGTTATTTTTTTGGAACATTAAAAAAAAATACTCAGTAATATAGGCCTAGGTTTATTTTTTATTTATTTCAGCTAACATGGTTAGCAATTTTCTAATTAAAATTAATTTTAGACATAATAATAAATAATATAGTATAGTATAGTAACAAAACTTACCCTTCTTATAAATATTGGATTATCAGGTAGGCAAGAACCACCAAATGGCCTAATTGAGCGCAGGTATGGTTATATACCAAACCCCAGATGGCCTAAAGCACCAAACTCTTACTCCAAACCCTATGAGCCCAAGGGAGTAGACAGTATGGACTCTGAAAGGATACCTGGTGTTGTGTTCAGGGATAAACAGAAATCTAAGTTTAATGAGAGTGACATTAACCACTCGTATCATGAACATGATTTTCCACAGCTAAATATTATCAAGTAAGTGTACTAGTGATAACTGATAAAAACAATCATACATATTACATACACTTAACCACAGTTAATTATGTTTACTTTGTTTAGTTACACGATATCAAAAAGCCTTTGCAGTGTGTTTACTGTTTCCATCTTTCAACAGGTCTACAGCAAGACCAGATATCTCAGCATGCAGCAATTCTTCTGTGATAGAAATATCAGAAGATGCATCAATAGACCACCCAAAACAACAAGGTCCAAACTCACAACTGTATGATGTTTATTCACCTAAAACTTCTACACCAATCAGAGAAGCCCATAATCATTCAAATACACCTTGCTCTGTCCCTCGTGCAGGCGATGCATCAGCTTTTGTGTCGCACTCTCAAAACAGTTTTCCTGACTGCAGAACATCTAAACATCAGCATAATGCAGACTTAAATTCTTCCAATAATAAAGGGCTCAAGCCGTTACCTCCTAGTCCTCTTACTGAACATTCTGTTTCTAGCTCTGATTCTAGTCAAAATAATAGTCACTACACTTCAAAACATGACAGTTCAGCCTCCTTTCAAACAACTCAGGCTAACAGTTCTGCTGAAAAGTTTTTGTCAAACTCCAATGGTGAGCCTGTGTGGCCAAGAATTGAAAGTGAAAGAAAAAAAGTGACACATTTATTCTCACAGTGTGATATTCACCATAATCAAAACTGGCCTGTTAAGCACAATTTCACACAAGATGCACCTAATTCTGTAGACAAGTTTTCACAGGTTAAAAGAGTCTCATTAGACTCCAGACATCAAAATGTGGAAAATAAAAACCATAAATATCAGCCAGCTTCAGAAGTAAATCTTAATGGAAATAGTCAAAATTCTTTTTCAACATCTAAACCGAAATTCATTTCAAGCAGTTCATCATGGTCAGATGTTGCCAGAATTTCTCCAAGTTCAGGCCTACAGACTTCTCCTGTTAATGCTGGTGGTTGTACCACCAAACCTCCATCAGCTGACAAACAGGATGCCTACATAGAAGGGAAAGACAAGGCACAATGTAATAAAGGCTCACACGGAAAAGGATCCAAAGGAAAACATAGAAAAGCAAAAACTTCAGAATGGCCAAATAAAACCCAACCAACTCTATCAAACAGAAGTGCTCACACACTGACTCTTGAAAGCTTCATGACTCCACAAAGAAATTCAACAAAAAAAAGTGGACTAGCCAATGGGAGGAAAGCTATTCAAATGCTGGAGAATCGTTTTGTTGAACAGATAGAAGCTAATGCTACATCCCCACCAAAGAAAGTTAAACCTTCTCCTATAAAGAGGTTAAGTTTTTCTAAAGATGAGCTAAGTGGCAAACAACATGAGATGTGTAATTCTGGAGATGCAAGAAATGTGTTACTCTCAAATGATAGTAAAGAGTTGACCATTGCTAAAAACAATACAGTTAACTTAGTTGATAGCTCCACAGTAAAAGCTGAAAGCAAAGTAAATAATATTCATCATAGATCATCACATCAAACATCTAAACGTGCACCTGTTCTTTCTTTGGAATCCCTTTTAAAAAAGGCTGTGACAGAAAAGGATATATTTGAGGATGAAAATGAAGATGAGGATGAATACACAAGTAATAGAACCAATGAAGAGGCAGAGAAATTTTGGAAGGTGAATCCAATATCTGATGGTTCTGCGCCAACAATTAGGTTTGCCACTTTTTCAATCATTCCTTAAGGTGCTAATTTCATGTCTAATTGGAGGAATTTAATATTTGTCCGACGCATGCTTACTTTTGTTTCATACTTTCAGATCTGAAAAACAGATAACTATCCCAGTAGAATCTGATGAAGAAGATGAGACTGTGGACATCTTATTAAACTCTTGCGTGAAAGTTACAAAGAGTGAAAAACAATGTGTTGTTGAGCATGGCACAGCTGCTGATCCACTAAAAATTACACATAAAAAGATGTTAAAGAAATATGCCAGAAGATACTGTCATTACATTGAAGGTACGTTTTTAAGACTTGGGTTTCTTAAGTTAAAGCTGTTTGATAAAAACCAACTTTAAAAAAGTTTCATACATCTTTTATCAGAACACCAAGTTCCTAACCTGGCTGTAGAACTATACTTTATCACTCAGCTGTTGACTTGTGCTAGTGTGGATAGTGAAGTACTACACATTGTAGGTTAGTGATCTGAATTTGATTATTTTATTTTAGTTATTTGTATTGCTTAATTCCATGACAATATTGTTTATAGATGCAAGCTCTGTAAACTTACTCTTTGTAATTGTTTTTCACAAATAGAAAGTCATATAGGAAAAACATATTTTGATTCCATTCACAATGGTGTTTACTTTGCTGTCACAGTTATCAAAAGATTAAAACGGTGAGTAATTTAATGTTTAATATGTTGCAATTTTATGCAATTGTTATCAAGCTGCTGTTATCATCAAACTTATTAAATTAGTTTATTTATTATTGGTACATTATTTTTTCAACAAAGAAAACAGATTTTCAAGTTGCAGTGCAAATTGTTTATCTAGATTGCTTCTCTGTTATTGCAGTATGTTGTCAATTTCTTTCTGTTTTGTTTCTCAGTTTTACAATATATTGTGAATCTTTTTCTATCTTTAGAATATTTTTATCTCTTGATGGAACGTTCTTGCAGCTTCTTGCCTCCAATGAGAGGATCCAAGCTTTTTCACCTAAATTACATAATTATTTCCAAAAAGCTTCAGAAAACCGGAATAAGGTATTTTTTAATAATCTGTTGACTGTTTAATAATTCTACTAATTTCATTGTATTAACTTGCATAAGAATAACGTTTAAATTATTTCATGTGTTGAAGGAGTCAACTGTGAAGCTTCATATTGAACATAAAGCATTTAACCCTCAAGAAGATGGCAATTTCAGCTTTCCAGATGCAAACTTTGCACATGTTTTCAAATGTCAAAGGTACAGCATTTTGAGCTCTGATTTTTAAATCCACTATTTTATCAACAAGCCTCTCTGTTATTTTCAAAAAAAATTTTTTTATTGCTCACAGAGATAATTTTTATGCTTTCTACCGGCATTACCATGACACAAGCAGTATTTATGAGTTCAAGATTGAGAATCAAATCCAGTATGTCTATGACGGGTGCACCCCAGAGCAGAACTCACTGGTCAACCTCTTTCATCTTGCTAAATTGTACCTGGACCATATGATTTTGGTTAGATGTTTATCTCATCATATTAACATAGATTCTACCAATAGATTGCCTTTAAAACCAAATATTTAATTACCTTTAATTAGAACAGTTTGGTTATATTTGCAGTGTTGTGTAAAGAATGGAGGAGAAAAGGTTGACATTATAAAAATGATCCAGAGCAAGGCAGAGAATGAAAAGTTATTTCAGACGTAAGTTTAACATTAGTCAGAATACCCTCAGTTGCACAGTGGTATATATAATTATATCTTTGGAGATTTGAGATACTTATGTTCTGAATGTAGTAACTAACTCTGTGCTTTCTTTCATTATGTGTATATGGTAGTGTTAATCCATACAAATATATAAAATATCTGCACAGGTTGTATAATGCATTTCTTGAGACTTCAAATGCCAGCAGTGGGAATGCTTGTCCAGCACCTGGTTTTACAGATACCCAAATGTTTTTCAAAGATTTTATTGAGACTCTTAGCTGTCCTGCTTTCAATGAACATTTAAAAAATCTAGTGGTCTATAAAATTTTAGAGGTAGGCCTACTATGTAAAATTTTGTATAGTAGTTATTTTGTTTTGACTTTATTAAATTGCTAAGAAAAAATATGCATGCATGATTTAGCAACCTTTTTGCTTGCAGTTAAATGCAATGGATTTTAGCTGTGTCACAAATCTGCATTCTTCAGCTATTATTGATAGCGATGTAAGTGTGAAGCTATTTAATTTTTAATATTACTATTTTTTTAGTAAGTAATTAAAATTGTAATAATTATATTTTTAAAATAGTTCATTTTTACCAACACCATTTCTTGTATTGATGAGTAATTAACGAATTATAAATGAATGGTTTTGAATATGCATATTTTTCAGATGCCCTTACGCTCTCAGAATTTCTCCGAAACAGTTTTAACCCTTTGTGTTTTAGGAAAACTCTTGGGTTACCTAACATTTGCATCTTACAATAGTGGAACTCTGAACATTCCTCAAGAACAGTCATTCATCTTGCTACGCATGAGAGAAATGGTAATTTTTATTAAAATTTGATAGGAGTATTTGTTTTGTGTTTTTTTGGCAAGTTAAAATTCTTATCTACTTATCTAATTATAGGTCCCTCTGCCAGTACCTTTTCCATTATTGTTAAAATGTGCATTTGAAAATGGACATCTTTCCTTGAGTATTCCATGGATGGTGGAGTATTTGTCAATGATGGACTATATGGCGCCTCAACTCACTGTGTATAAATCATTGCTGAAAAAGATGCATTTTGTTCAGAGGTGAATAAAATAACCTTTTTTTGCTGAAAACTTACTTTTTGAATAGATTTTAATTATTGCTTGTTTGCAGCTCATTCCATTTTTTCATAAAGCTTTTGTTTATTTTTATTCCAGGTATGCATGGCAACACCTGTACAAAGCTGGCCATCAAAATACAGGTCTATTGATCGTATCTTGTATTAGCTGGCTCTTTGAGGTTAACACTTTTTCTTTAACTATCTAATTAGTCATAAAATACAAATGAATTTTTAGTTTAATAATTCTATGCTTCAATTTTATAGTCTCCATCAGTACCTGCTGGATTTTTCTTCTCCCTGGAATCTACAGATGTAGAGTTGGCCAACTGGCATCATTGCACGAAGAAATTCCAAATTGTAAGTTTCTAAGAAAATACAGCTCTGCTTTATTATTTCAATACAAGTCTTTTTAATATGTGAAATGATTTTTGTTTTGTTGCACACTTTTTTATTATTTGACTTATCATACACTTTGTAAACATAAACCTAGATAAAATATTTCCGTAAATGTTATTTGTGTGAGCATTTGTTTTTCAGGATCAGCAGAAACTTGTATCCCAGAGTTTATTGTCATCATGTTGTCCCTATTTAGGTAATTGATTCTAAGTTACATTATTCTAAATTTCCTTGATTGGTTTCTTTAACTAATGTAGCAAACTTTGATTCATATTCGTTTGCCCCATCCAACTGATTTATAATGTAACATTTATTGTAAAGTGTATTTGTAGAACAGTAATTAGCTTTCCTTTCAAGCATTATGTGATTCATAGGGTTAATTTGTTTTTTGTAAAGTATTTTATTAGTTTTTGTCTAACTTAATATGTTTGTATATCTTTGTAATTCAGAGCAAGGCAAAGTTTTGCTAACCCAATTTGCCCTGAAGCAAAGCCCAACAACAACAGTGCGTAGTGTTCTGCCCTTAACACCCCTAGCTGAAGTCAGTAAGGCCCCAGTTACCAAGGCAACCTTAAATATCTCTCAAATTGAAGAGTGGTTAGGATCTTCTTTGGTTATCAGTGCTGATCCTTCCAGGTACATAATGCTAAAATAATGGATCTAATAACTAATGTATTGGTCTTATTGTATTTGCTACCTTTTTGTAATAATTATGAACAAAGAAGTCTAACATTGTATTAGGGTAGTGCTGTTTGTTTAATAGTTTTTTAAAATTGTATTTTTTGCTTTTTCTTTAGTGTTACAGACTTATCTAAGCCTGGTAGTGTTATTGATGATGAAATAGTTCCTGCGTATGTACTCACTCACTTGTTGGCTAGTAAAGATGCAGATGACCTGGTATGTCTATTATTTTCTATGTCCTTCTTACTTAATTTAACATATTTGTAGAATATTTACCCATTTATTTTTTTCCAAAATTATTATTTTTTCCAAATTTTTAAAGGAGGATTTGGAGGCAAATTTGATGCAAAACAATCCATATTGGAAGTCTTGTATAAACACAACCATTGACCTAATGACAGCCAAGCTGGCAGAATACACTCACAGAATGATCTTACGACTGCTGCTGTTCAAGGCTAAATCTGAGATCAGAATGCAGTTTATTGGAGTTGCTCAAGGTGTTAATGCTGATGTTGTAAAGGTATTTAATTAATATAACTTTATTTCATCTAGAATATTTGCTGAGTATATTGTCAGTTTGGGATGGTGTGGTGTCAAATGATACAACATTCGGCTACGGCTTGAAGGTCTTGAGTTCGGATATTGGTCTGGACTCAGGACTGTAGGACAGGATATCCCTGAGTACACCCAGCTCTGATGGGTACATATGTTGGTGAATGTAAAGGCGGCTGGACATGGTGCTGACCACACCCATTCATATGCCAAAGTCAATAAACATTTGAACACCAGTGACCGGAAAGATGTGCAAAAAAGTGCATATGGGCATTTTTGGTTTCTTCAATTGAGCACTTAGAAACATTAACAAAGAGTGACTACATGTACATAGCAGCATAATAAAACATTTCCACAAAATATGTCAAAAATTAAAGTGTATTTGCATAATTAGTTTGTATTTGCGCTGTTTTCAATTGCACATTTTTCTGATAACTCTTCTGCCCTATGGATCTTTAGGTCTTAAAGGGGAGCTTTACTTTTTTTATGTAGTCAGTTTCTTCATTAAATGTTGCTTCTATTTTCCACAGAGTAATATTGTAGCTCAGTCCAATATTATTGCAAATAGTTTTGCTGAAAATGCAAGGACAAGCTTCTATGAAATGGTTGAAAAGTATGTATTATTTGCATCAGGTCTAAAAATAACAGCCAACTAATTAGAACATCAGTTTGTTATAAGTGGAGGGGGGGGGGGGGGGGCAGAAAATACAACTTTCTGGGAACTAATTGTTACTTAGGTTTCTAAAGTTTTCTTTTTAATCGTTTTCAGTTGTTGCACTAAAGAAATACCAGCACTAATCAACTTTTTGATGTATGGATTAGAAGAAGAAATTCGGGAAACTATTGTTCACCTCTGTGAAAAGATGCTTTTGAAAAGAATGCAAGAGTGGTCCAAAGTGCAATTAACACCTGGTATTTAGACAACTACATTTTTGTTTGTTACATTTTACATAAACATGTTACACATCACAGAAATAATAAACAGCAAAATAAGAAAACCAAAAATTATGATTGAGAGATTTCATTTTCCCCCATTTCAGTGCTATGATTGAGAGCTTTCATTTTCCCCCATTTCAGTGCTATGATTGAGAGCTTTCATTTTCCCCCATTTCAGTGCTATGATTGAGAGCTTTCATTTTCCCCCATTTCAGTGCTATGATTGAGAGCTTTCATTTTCCCCCATTTCAGTGCTATGATTGAGAGATTTCATTTTCCCCCATTTCAGTGCTATGATTGAGAGCTTTCATTTTCCCCCATTTCAGTGCTATGATTGAGAGCTTTCATTTTCCCCCATTTCAGTGCTATGATTGAGAGCTTTCATTTTCCCCCATTTCAGTGCTATGATTGAGAGCTTTCATTTTCCCCCATTTCAGTGCTATGATTGAGAGCTTTCATTTTCCCCCATTTCAGTGCTATGATTGAGAGCTTTCATTTTCCCCCATTTCAGTGCTCTTTCAAAGAGTGATTGTCCGTGAAGCTGAGAAGTGTGCAAGAAGCAATCCAAAAAACCTGACCTTGTATCCTAGTGATTACTCAAAAAAAGTGGAAGAGCTCTCCTCTTCTAGTCTTGATACAGCCTTTGTTGAGTGTGAACAGCTGTCTGAGCTTATTGATAAGGCATTGGTAAATGTTGCAAGTTTTTTACGACTGTTTGGGGAAACTTGAGTTGTTCAGTTTTTGGAGTCCAGGTATTATTCTAAATTTATTTGATCCCCAGTCTTATGGAGTTTGGTATATTAATGCACTGACACCTGGCACTAGGCCTGATGATTCGCATATGATACATCTCATCCAGGACTTCACTGCCTGTGTGGAGGAAAGAATGGTAGGGATAGCGTTTGCTTCATAATTAACTTACATTTTTTTTTCACCCAATTATCCACAATTTTAACTATGTACACTATTTATTACAGATAACAATGGATTTCGCCTTTTATGTGATGTCCAACTTTTTAATGAACTTAATCATTCAATACAGTAAGTTTATCATAGAAAATCTAGACTAGGCATGTTGAGAAAAAAAATATTCTAATATAGCTACACTCTCACATAATACATAGGTTTGATTTGTAGCTCAATGTAGCTATTTGAAATATCAAACGCATCATTCAACTCAATATTTTAAAAATATCTCCTATTGTTCCATATAAACAGTTTTTAAAGTATTTTGTGTTTTATTTCGTTAACAGTTGTGGATGCACCTCAGAACTGGACAGACAGTGCAGCTGAGGCATTCATCCAACTCTGTCATCTGTGTAAAAACAAGAAGCATGAAAATGATAAACTTAGCATTAAACTGGCCGAGTTTGTCAGAAAAAAGAAGAGGATGAAAATCAAAGTCCTCAATTTGATGTCAGTACATTCCATTCAATGGCTTACCAAAAGTGATGCCCAGGTATTATTTCTTTACAATTAACCTCTTAGATGATCATCAAAGGCTTTGTTAAATATATCCAGACATAAACCTAACAGGTTCAACAGGGGCAGGTAGAAAGTAATGAGTCGAGTCAGGGCAGTTTTCTTCCCCTCCCCACCCCCCAAACGACAAACACTGCTCATTAGACTAACTCCACTTGTGTTAGCAATCAAGCGCTCACCGGCCATACGGAAATAAATTTTTATTAAAAATATTAAACCTGTTTGATATTTTTGCTCAGACATGAAAAATTGACTTACATTTTTTGTACATTGTTTTTACCTTAATATTTTTTCAGAATGAAACATTAATGGCCTACACTAAACTACTGGTACTGTTGGTAAAATCAGAACTACTTCATGTGGAGACAGTCTTTCATAAACTTCTTCATTCTAGAGACAACAAAAACCTTGATCTTTCCACTAAACTATTGGTCAACAAGGTCTTAGTTAAAGTTTTAGAGTTGCTGTGGAGTGCAGGAGACAGTCAGTCTAGTTTTACTCAGGACAGAATTTTAAAGTTAGTGCAGGAGTTCCCCCTGCCAGAAAATAGAGAAAGCTGGGACAAGGTTACATCTGATATTGCTAGCCAGTTTAAGTCAACTTTTGGCCAGTTGGTAAAATAATGTAATTAAGGTTTTATTATGTTGATTGTTGTATTATTAACCAAATGCATTTATGGATATCATTCTGTAATTTAGTCTGATTACTATGGTAGCAGTTTTTCTGGAAAGGAAGTTATTGTCACCATACTTTAAAATGTATTGTCTTATGGATCAATGACATGTTGACTTTTTTAGTTTCTCTATAACCTTTTTAAATCTACTGCTATTTTCTGATTTTATTTACTGCTGAATTCACCCTAACACAGGGGTCAAGAGTTTTAGTCAATTTTTAAAATAACATACTAATTCTATTCAGAAATTGTTTGAGGTGGTTGGTCAAAACTGATATATTTTTAATACAAATATAGATTTTAAAAAGTATAATTTTTTTTTTACACAACTACAATACTTTGTGATAATTACAACTGTTTTTGTATTCATGCTGTGAAATATTGATCTGTTTGAAAACATGTAAAATATAAAGTTTGAGAACAAAAAAACTTCAATTTTAATGTTTATTTTTTTAGCATAAAAATAAAGCAACACCTATATGATAGGTTTTGACACTGCAACACATTCATTAAAGATTGTACAGCAAAATGTTATACATATTATGCACAAAAGCAATTTCCACTAGAAAAACATTTTAAATGATTGCAATTTTATAATATATATTTAATGTAATACCAATAGTGATCATACACATTCATCATGTGATCAGTGGAGGAAAAAAATATCACAAACAAAAGGGCTAATTCACACATCAAATTATACATATAATTCTTAACTACAAACACTCATGACTTATCACATTCAAAAATGAAATGTTAGCACCATTAGATATAATTTACACACTAGTTAAGGTGCAGCAGGAGCCAGCTTGTCCATTGCTAGCAATGCTAAAGTAGTGAGGAAATTCAACTGGCCAGTCCTGCAACAATTTAAATATGTGATTGTTTTCTAAGAATATCTCCCTCAAAACGAGTCTGTTACATCTGAAAGAAAGAAAAAGTTTCTTAATTTATTTTAAAATATTACTTGAATACTGAAACTTGAACAGAAGTTCATAAAACTTGTCTAATATAAAACAAGTATGTGTTTACATGATGAGGAATGCTTCATGTTCTTTGGCCAAGCAATGTTAGCATCAATTCTTTTGAAAGCAAAGCAGCAGGTCTTGCCCACAGCAAGATTATCCCCCTTGATTATTTGAGGACAGTCTGTGTCAGCTAGATGGAACTCTGAAACAATTGACAAGTCTTCATGAAATAATAAACACACTCAGGTATAAATTTCATAAAGCCTAGTGCTGCTAAATTTGAAGTTATCCAAAAAGCTTTTCAATGTCAAGAAATGGCTAGTACAATGTATGTGTAAATGAAGGTGCATTGTACCTACCTTGACCATCACATAACAGATAAAGACCATAGTCTTGAGGATTTGTTACTTTAAACTTGTGAGCCACCATTGCACCTATTAAAAAATATATTTATTAGTGTCTAATGAGAATGAAAATACTTTTTAAAAATGAATAAAAGACAGTTTAGTTTGATAAAGAAATCAACTCACAAACATCCCTGGTGTTCATGTTAGGTCGGACAGGTAAAGTTTTCCATGTTATTGAGCCATGCAGCTCATCGGGTATTGCAATCCTTAGGAAGCCTTGCATGTCAGATATTGTTGGTAGTCGACCCTAACAACATTTTTAATAAAGCAAATGAAATACAAAATAATGTATCAAAACACAAACTAATATCACATCACAAAAGATGTTCAATTAAATTTTCTATAAGTAGAAAAGAATTAATTTAAACTCATAACTAATTATGTTTAGTAGTTGGCCTGCTCAAATAAGGTAAATGGGAAAAAAAGATATGTTAATAAACTAAACCTAGATGTTAATCAGGGTGAATGACCTCACCTCCATCTGAGCAGGCACAAGCTGGTGGGTGTCCTGAAAATTTTTTAAGATCAGCACAGCACTGGAGAGTGTTGTTAAGTAGTACCCGCCCTCCCCGGTCAGCAGGGATGGCTGTAGTAGTCCCCACATGAAGTCAGCCTCAATCTCAGCAGACACCAATCCACAGTGGACAATGACGTAGATCAGGATGGGCAGGAAATCTGAGTAAATTACAAATGAGATTTAGTACCAGACTGATAACATTGTGCAACTAAATTACAGTGGGATTATGTTTTAGATAAATGTATGCAAGAGATTAACATGGATATGAAAACTTCACAATATGATCTTGTCAGTTTTTTAAGGGAATATTTGGCTGGCTGAAACCAGTTGGCTGGCATGAAACCAGCATCAATGTTTGTTCTCGTCACACAACCAAGTTCAAGTCATATAATATCTTATTTCTGTCAGCAACTCACCATCAGCTCCCAGTGATGAAGGAGCTCTGCTGGACACTTGATGGTGTTTCCCCTGAACCTGTGGACACAAAAACATCAGGTTATACCTCACATCACAGCATATACACAATAAAGAATAAGGCTACTGAATAAGAACTTGTAAGATTAAATTTAAAATTATTTCTTGTAACATTATTGATTTTGTTTACTCCCAATTTTTATGCTAAAAAGAAGTGTACATAGGGAAAATATTTTATGATTTGACTAATTAAATTTTAATTCATGTCCTTGTTTAACTGAATTGCAAGAAGTTTAGGTCATAAATCTTATCACTGAAGAGCAAGCAAGTTGAAGAAGTTGTCACTTGTGATATTACGACCACTTTCCATGAATGCCCTAATTAGTTTCATACAGATCATATAATTTTTTTATTTGTCTTTGTCACCAGGTGTTTACTACCCATAACATACTTTCAGAGGTTGATTTTTACCATGCCACAACAATTAAACATTTAAGTCCAATGAAAATTTATGTTTGTGCCCATATAGCATGCTATAACTTGTCTAGGGCAGACATTTAAAATTCAAACTTGGGGGATTATATCAACCACACATAAGGTTAAAAATCTGAAAACTCAGTCTATAAATAGCCCTGACTCACACAGTGATGGATTGTGGATGTGGCTTTCAGCAGGTTCTGGAGTTTTTGGAGTGGAGAGTAAGACTTCTGCATCAGGTCAAGGTAATGTTTGATGACATCCATATCTGTACTTTGGGGAAGTTTGAGACCAGGCTAGAGATAGACAAGTAGATTTAAGAATTTAAAACTTATTATTTCTAATTTATGTCATTGTAAATACAAGGATATTGATTATATAACTATGAGAAATACATTTCCTGCATTAAAATAAACAATCCTAATATTATCAGAAAAAACTGGTTCAAGTGATGCTTGAGATTGGCCATATCAGGCTGTCATCTTAAATTGATAACTTAGAGCTTGAACTACTTAGTTCGTAAAGGACGCCTTCAGTTTTTGTTTACTGATAACAGGAAGTCTTTATGTAATAGCAAAGTATTCAGTCAAACAATTCTCATGAGGATGTAGTTTACCTTGACACCAATATCCTGTGCAGACTTTGTCCTGGCATATTTAATGTTCCTTGATAACTGTTCCAAAGCCCCATTTCTAGAGAACAAAGTGAATTACAAGCTTCATTGAGGACGTTATTCATACAGGTTTTTTTAGTTAGAAAAAAATCCCCATGCCTTGCATTTTTCATCTCAATGTACTTGCCACACCTTAAAAAAAAAGGATCCCAACCCCTCCCAACCCCCCACAATATTGCTGTATTTATCAACAAACAACCCCCACCCCTCTATTTCAACTTACTTGCTGTACTTATCAACAAACAACCCCCACCACTCTATATCAACTTACTTGCTGTACTTATCAACAAACAGCCTGTAGACATGATACTTGAGTGGTCGCAGCACACAGACATGCAGAGCTTGTTCTATTATGGCATCAATATTCAAAATTTCATTGGGGTTCAGCTGAAAATTAAAAAAAATTTTCCATATATTCTTTGTGTGCAGTGGAGAGAAATTATTTCAAACTTAATTATATTTCATAATGAAACATTTATCCTAAGTTAATTGTAAGAAAATTATAAAGTAACTTTTAAAAATAACTAATCTACCGTACCTTGTTTCTCTCCCTTTCAATTAGATCTTCAAGCTTTCCCTCCCCATGTTTGACTAGATAGTTTTTAATACCGGTCATAAACTGACGAACCTAGAGACAAAAAGATGTGAACTGTTACATCAGTTTAACATCAGACATTTTAACTATACATTTATTGAGCTAGTGCTCAAGGTATTACTCTAGCTCCACTAATACATTGTTCATGTGCTACATTTGTTATGTTGAATGTTATAATGAGGCTATTATTTTTATTACACAGCTACAGCACAATACTATAACACAAGGCTGGACCACTACTCACATTTCTCATGACATACTGTGGGTTCGTCTCCTGGCTCTCTAGTGTACACTGGATGAAATTTTCTATTGTGCTGCCAAAAATTGTTTGTCTATCACCAGAAAGCCTAAACAAACAAAAAAAATTAATCTTTTGAAAATTATCAGAATTATTTTACTCAGCTGAGTTAAAATCAGGTAAAGTAATATATGAACAAAAAAAACAAATCAACTAAAAACTAATGAACGCTTAGCTAAAATGGATTGTAGTAATGTACTCACTTGAAGATATAATCTTTAATTTTAGCTCCAGGAGACTTGCCATCGCTGTGTGAAATAGAAACTTGAGGACCTATAAATTTTTTTTTATAAAGTTCATTAGAAAATACACTATAGTTATTGAAAACAAATGATGCATTAATGTTTTTCTTTTTATCTGGTCCGTAAGAATTGTGGTGAAGAGGACAAATTTTGCATTTTTAGTGCAAAAAATATTCTGCATTTTAAGCAGCTTAAAAATTTATTTCTATCAATGAAGATTCTTTGAACTAAGTTTTATCTGTTTTTAAATCAAATGAATTCTTACTAATGACAGGCCGAAGTCTTTGTTTCAAGTCCTCACTGGCATAGGCCAACTCCCCACCAAATAAAACATCATCCTCTCCTGCAAAATGACCAGTGGTCTCTGAAAGCTTGACCTCTGACCCTGTGCTAGAGTAGCTCTGCTGGAGAGGGGAGCTGTGGCAGTTGACCACATCTGGACAGTGGGAGGAGAGTCTGTGGGGGGATGTGTGGGCTGAGGATGAGATGTCTGCGAAATTGGCTGAGGTGATGGTCAAGCTGGACAGCTGATGGGACACTGGGCTCTCCTGTATTCTCTTGTTTGAGTCTGTGGAGTAGATACAATGTTTGGAACCTACTCAGATGGTTTAAACATCTTCACAGAAGCTAGATTTAAGGGATCCAAAAATGTAAAAATGATGCAAATCAGTAAATAGTGTAGAAAATATTTATAATTAATATAATGTTAATTAAAAATAATTAGATGTTTGTAATTGATTTTAAAGATTATTTCCTTCTTACAAATTTTATTTCTGAATAAATAATAAATGCTTTTAGTATATAAGAGAAACTAAGCTATATTAGAGATAGCTACTTTTTAATAAAATAATGTTCAGATCTAATCAAGCTTTTAGCCAAAAATGAACCTGATTTATTCTCAGTTTTTAACTGACCATGCCTGGTGAGGTTGTGTCCACTGTGCCCAGCTAAGCTGGTCTGCTGGTGTGTCTGACTACTGCTGTCTGTCTGCTGGACCCTCTTGTGGGACTGGTGGGACTCAGCACTCATCTGTCTGTGTACCTCAACAGACTTAGTCAGGGAAGACTTGGCTTTGTCTTCTGTCTTCAGCTGCTGCTGGTGCTGCAGCAGTTGGAGCTGTTGCTGGTGGATGTGGTGGTCCTGTGACTGGTGACTGACTAGGGCCGTGCTGCTGGTGGTGGAGGTGTTGATGTGGACGGCGCCGGTGTCGTGGTAGTTGCTGTTGGCCATCTGCCACCTGTGGATTCTCTCATGGAAGTCCATGGCTGGGGGCAGGACTGTGGCTGGAGGTTCCCTAATGAATTTGTTAGCTGTGCCTGTCTCCCAGGGAGGGGAATACACAGTACCCAGACTGCTATGTGTAGAGGCCTACAGAAAACAAAGTGAATATTCAGTAAAAAAGATAGCTATGTGTAGAGGCCTACAGAAAACATAGTGAATATTTAGTGAAAAGATAGCAATGTGTAAAGTCTTATAGAAAGCAAAGTGAATATTCAGTAAAAAGATAGCTATGTGTAAAATCTTACAGAAAACAAAGTGAATATTCATTTTTAAAAAGTGTAGACTCCTACAGAAAATTAGATCTATAACAGGATGTTTACATTCCTTCAACAAAATTCAGACAAACAAAAACAATGTTGATTATTGATTAACAACAATTTTAACTATTCAACTCAATATGGACCTTTGTTATCTTAAATGGAATTTAAGTTAAGAGTAGAAATAAACAATGTAATCCTTTGTTTTCAACATAAACTTCTTGTAATACATTTTTCACTTAACTGTGTAAAGCGTTTAATGTGAAAGTATAAAACAGCGTTATCAAACTGATATTAGTACAGTGACATATTGTTGCTTGTAACACAACTAACATTCTTTCACAAACCAGCTGTCTGATATCATGCTCTATTCATGCCTTCTATTTGTTGTTTTTAAGTGAACAAAATATTCTCAGTTTCAATGCTTCAACAGATTTTTTTTAAACATGTGCACTATCTGCCACCTGCTATTTATGGCCTACAGAACACTGCACACATTGAATCTAAAACTTATTTTTAAAACTGAAGAAATATTTAATATTTTTATCTCTTGATGGTATTCAAACAAAAACACTTTTATAATGAAGGAAACATGCACGAAGTGTCAATCTTCATTTTGACAAGTTTCCTGAGTGCAATAATGACAGAAGCTTTAAAACATGCAACCACAACATTCTAAGCAAGAGATAACAGACACTTGTAGTAAGAACGAGTTAATGAGTACGGTGTTTTGCTTTATAAATTATAACAATTGTAGAAAAAACCATTTTGATAAGTATATTTATAAATCCAAGAAATTATTTTTAACAGGTTTATAAGTTGGTGAAAATTTATTTGTTATAATCATAGTCTAGGGTGATAGTCCTTACAGGTGGGCTGAAACCTAGTAAAATTATAGATCTGATCAGAATAAAGGCAGCAGAGGAAACCTAACTGATGAGCTACTAAAGACAGCCTTACCCTGTAAACTTGCATGTTGTCATATTCTGAGGGTGGGGCGCTGGTTCCCTGCTCCACTGGCTTGAGGAAGTTGACAGCCACTGGTTTAATCAGAAGTTCTGGGTACGCACATGTTATCAAATCCTGCACTGTTGAAGACTCAGAGAAACAGGAAGACCTGATCACTTCCTGGCAACTCTCCACAGGAAACTTGCCAGGGTGGCCACTGTTTAATGTGGACGTTGCCATGGGAACACCAGCATCCTCTTTGAATAACACACTATCCAAGACTACATGTCCGTGGGTTGCTATACTTGTTTTAACACTGACTGTGTTGGACTGCGTCAAGTTCTGAGTCAGAACTTTGGTTCCCAATTTCAACCTGTTTAGTCTGTCTTTCCAGCTTTGTTTACGCTGAAGTTGAGACATTTCCTGGTGCGTCCTCATGCTGTAGCTACGGGAAAGTTTACTAACTGGCGCTGGTGCAGAAGGGACCAGATTTTTCAAGTTGGACGTGTCAAATGAGAATTTGGTTTGAGTAACACTAGAAGGTTGGGCATCAGGAGACAGGATAGTATCAAGTTGTGGATTTTTGGAAACTTTATGCTGGGATTTACCTTGCTTGTCTAGAATCTGATTGGCTGCAAGAGGAGCAGAAAGGCGCCTGACTTGAATATTGATGGCCTTGCCGTGCTTGTCTCTGAGTTTAACAGCATCAGCTGGCTCAGCATACAGTGGACTAGAAGCTGTGGCCAAGGAAGATTCAGAGGAAGATTTTAGCCGGGAGAGACGTCCAAGCGGGGAGAGCATGGGTTTCTTGAAGTTGAGCTGCTGCAGAACTTTGTTGTTATTCTCAGAGCAGATGTCGCCCATGGCTGGGTCTGACATGATCACAGACATTGTGGTGGTGAAGGTGGACGACTCCTTGAGGGCAACACAGGTGGCAGCTTGGTAGGATCTGTTGCTGTCTGCTGCTGTGGCCAGTTGGCCCAGGTCTAGTGAGTGAGATGTGATGTATTTGTGCTGGGTGCAATGCTTGGAGATGTCAATCTGTTTCTCACTCACAAACACCTCGGGCACAGGAGGGATGGATGGAGCGGTGTTTTCCTGGTTGGGAGCGTTATCTCCCCTACCAGCAAAGTTCCCAGAAGTCAACGGGGCCTCGTCTTCGCTGACAGAGCCTGCGATCATCCTGGCTTGTTCAAGGGCAGTTAATCCAGTTGTGCCACCCGTCACAGAGTCACGACCAGCTGGTAGAAGTCTGCGGGTCGGAGGTGAATCTTTCGGAGTTTTTCTAAGTACTTTTTTCTTCATTTCTTTGGTGTTTGTTTTTTTACCGTGGCCGTTTATTTTAGAATCCAGGACGGCCCGGGGGTCGTGAATCATTTTTGTGTTATTTTTATCAGCGTCAGATTCACAACACGAAGTCCTCCAGATGTCTTCGTAGTCGCTGAGCTTGTCTGAGAGATTGGAGGTGTAGTAGCTGTTCTCAGGGATTTCCAACAGTCCCAGATTTGTTGTGAAGTAAAGGTTTGTTTTTGATTTAGGTGGGGTTGTCCTGGGAGGGGTCCAAGATCTGTCCCCAGGGGATGAATGCTGATGTTCAGATGGTAAGGACGTTGCCCCCTGTGATGCATGTGTGAAGTGAAGCTGTGTTAAGTGGATGACGTGCTGCTGGTCTGCGGGTTGGTTGGTAGGGTTGGACCTGTAGATATCCTCGTCTTGGCTGGCAGGTTTGACTGGCTGTTTAAAAGTTGCTGGACTAGAGGCTAACACCCAGGATTCATCACTGGCTAAGCGGTGACGATGTAAATTGTGTTGTGTTAAATCTTGGTTTAGTAAAACTGGTAATGGTCTTTGTGTTTTCTCATTATTCAACACATACTTCTGTAGCTCACCAGGTATGGGTTTATCCACAGTTAAAACAGACTCGGATTGTTTGTGTTCCAGATTTTTAACTGGAGTGGACGCTCCGTTCTGTAGCTTTGGACTCTGGGGGTCATGGATGTGCTGCTGGAAATAGCGTTCCATTTCCAGCTGATTCTTCATGAAGTGAGAGAAATCTGTGGCGGATCTGGAGGGGACGGTGTTCTGTGTGACCTGCGACGCACTGTTATCCTGTGGGACAGCAGGGCGCTGGATGTTGATTGGCTCGCTGGATGACTTGTGCAGGAGGCCGACCAGTGGTTCAGGAGATGGAGATTTGCGGGACAGGGGGGACAACCAAAAATCTGGGGAGACAATTTTTAGAATGTTAATTTGTAACTGAATAAGCACCCCTGCCTAATTCTAGCTTGAGAAAGACAAAAAACTAAATACATAAAAAATAGAAAAAAATTTGCTGTTCAATTAAAACATTGTCAAGTATTTTCATCTGTAAAAAAAAGCAATATTTTTTGTTGGCATGTTTAAAAGAAGAATGTGAACACTCACCTTGCCCCAACATATCTATAGACGCCAGCTCTCTGGTAGATTTTGCTTGTTGTATGGCTCTTGGCAGACACAAGTGGTAAGGAATCTCATCACTTTTAAAATAGAAAACAAAAACATTTCAAAACTAAGTTCCAAAAAAAAAAAAAAAAAAAAAACAAATCATTGCCTTTAATACAATTCATGTTTTAGTGTGACCAAATGTCACATGAAAAAAGGTGGTGAGAGTATAAAATGTAATGGGAAGGCAAAAAGTAGGACTTGCATGTTCTCCACGTAGTAAGCGATGAGGGCTGGTATGGAGTGGAAGTAATGAGATGAGCCCTGTAGCTTGAAGCCATTGCTGCTGCCCTCTATCAGGTAGTGGTCCACCACAGGATGACCAGACAGTCTGGACTGGACGCTCAGAGCTAGCGAGTTATTTTGGCTGGATTTACGGACAATAAAGTTCTGCGGGGGAAGAAATTACTTGATGAGTAATCATAGTTGAATTTTTAAATAATTTGTGATTTAAAAAAAAAAAGAATAATTTTTGGAAGCTTGTTTTAATTAAACATAATAAAAAACATTTTTCTGATCAGATGGGTAACCATAGAATATCTCCAGGTAAGTGATTAAAAACAGTGATTACCCCTATATATCTGAAGAAAAAACAATTACCCCTGTATATCTGAAGAAAAAACAATTACCCCTGTATATCTGATGAAAAACAATTACCCCTGTATATCTGATGAAAAACAATTACCCCTGTATACCTGATGAAAAAACAATTACCCCTGTATAGCTGATGAAAAAAAAGTTACCCCTGTATATCTGATGAAAAAAACAATTTCCTCTGTATATCTCATGAAAAAACTATTACCCCTATATATCTGATGAAAAAAACAATTACCCCTGTATATCTGATGAAAAAAACAATTACCCCTGTATAGCTGATGAAAAAACAATTACCCTTATATATCTGATGAAAAAACAATTACCCCTGTATATCTGATGAAAAAACAATTACCCCTGTATATTTGATGAAAGAAACAATTACCCTTATATATCTGATGAAAAAACAATTACCCCTGTATATCTGATGAAAAAAACAATTACCCCTGTATAGCTGATGAAAAAAACAATTACCCCTGTATATCTGATGAAAAAACAATTACCCCTGTATATCTGATGAAAAAACAATTACCCCTGTGTCTCTGTCTTTCAACAGATGAACTGCTCCAGCCCTGCTTAATGTTGCCAGGAGCCAGATAGAGTTGGTCTTGATCAGCCTCTCCAGTGTGCTGATTGGCCTCATCTCGTCCATGCTGGGAGTCAACTCTACTCTCACTGTCAATGGGGAGGAACACTGCAGAGGGACATGGGTTCAAATTATAATACAGGACTAGGACACAGGTTAAAATTATAATACAGAACTAGGGCATGGGTTAAAATTATAATACAGAACTAGGGCATGGGTTAAAATTATAATACAGAACTAGGACATGGGTTAACTTTAGGTGTAGGACAAGGACATAGGTTGACATTACAATACAGGACCAGGACATGGGTTAAAATTACAATACAGGACAAGGACATGGGTTAACTTAATAATACAGAACTATGACACGAGTTAAAATTACAATACAGGACAAGGACATTAACATTAGGTACAGGACAATGACATGGATTAGCATTAGGTACTGTAGAACATCAAGTAAACCAAGATTAAAAGATATACATAACAGAAGGAAATGGGTCTACATTAGGTTGGGAACATAAGTCAACATAAGAACAAAAAAAAAACTCTTCACACAAATAATTGTATTTTGTAGAGAAAATACACTATGTTTAAATTTTGTATTTATTTTGCCACAATATTTCTTTAAATACATCAGCCAAAGACTGTACTTAAATCAGTTAAAGATTGAACTTAAATGAGCCCAAGATAAAAATGAAACACACCTGATGTGGCTGAGTGCTGAAGTGGTTTGAGTTAAACACCAAAGGTGAGGGTCCAATCCTACATCGGCCATCATGACCGCTGTCCACTGATTCACAGTCGTTGCGCTCGTTGTCACTCAGGCTGACTAGGCTGTGATTGCTACTCCTGTACACACACAAAACATTGCCTTTAAAATCAAACTGACTAGGCTGTGATTGCTACTCCTGTACACACACAAAACATTGCCTTTAAAATCAAAGTCAAAGCAAGTAGAAAGCTGAACTGCTGTAGAAAATATTGTAATAAGGAAGTAGAAAACAAGATAAACACCTGTAGAATAAAGTTCTTATAAGCAAATAGAAAACAAGACAAATAGCTGTACAACAATATCAAAAGCAAGTAAAAAGCAAGACAATTAGCTCTAGAATAAAATTACTACAAGCAAAAACAAAACAACACAAATAGCTGTAGAATAAAACTATCACAAGCTTGTAGAAAACGAGACAAATAGCTGTAGAATAAAATTATCACAAGCAAGTAGAAAACAAGACAAATAGCTGTAGAATAAAACTTCTACAAGCAAGAACAAAACAATACAAATAGCTGTAGAATAAAACTATTATAAGGAAGTAGCAAGCTAGACAAAGTGCTGTAGAAAATGTCCTAAACATAGCTGGCTGTATGGAAAAAACTAGATAAAAAGACAAGTTACTTTTGACAGCAGACCCACATAAAGCAGGTGGTGCACATGATGGCATTTATCACTGCAACTGCTAATTGCAGTGGCCATGCCACACCTCTAGGACTCTATTTCTATAGCTGACTACAGGACCATCCCATTCTAATGTATTATTAGAAGATTAAGTCTGACAACATGAGTGATACACACACTATCTATAGGTAAACAAAACAACACATTTGTTTATCTACTAAATAAACACAGGTGAGTTTGGCATGTACATACACAAGGATATCACGGTTGGTTTAATAAATTAAAAAAAAAACAATACTCTTAAACTGAAGGCTTATTTTTAAATGCTGCAATAAAAAATAAAAATATTTAAAAACGAAAAAAAAATTCTTTGGCCTACAATTTTAATAACTGCCAAATTTTGAACTTGACAGACAGCAAACACATTAGGGTGTCCTGGTACATCTTTCTCCAGGCTCTACAAATACAATCCTAGAATATGTTCACAACACAGATGTCTTCACCATGCTAGTCAAACTCATACTGAGAAACGTACAGGATATGAAACAGCTTATGTAAACTTGTTTAACCATACGTTTACAGCACACGTGAAGGGCACGCTTGTGACATATTCATATTTAAAATACCCGTTTAGCCCCTCCCCTTTTTACAAGGTGATGAAATACTAGCATTTAAAATAACTAATTATTCAAACATTTTCAGATAAGGAAGGGTTGACTCTATTTAATAACAGGTTAAATCCTAAATCCTTTCAAATAGAAAACACCTTCCCATAATTTATACCTCCATGTGGGGGCCTCCCACTTAAACAGGGAGTGTACAATACCAGGTAATTCATACGCAATTTGTCAGCCATTCAGGCAGTCATTCATAACTGTAGTACGCATTATCTAAACTGACACTGAAGTTTATACGCTCTGTTTACTTAAAAGAAATATTTTTATATGCACACACAACCACAAAGCTTTCAACTAAATGCAAGGGTTTGGTTATGATGGTGTTGCATTTAAAATGAACTCAACAGATAAGCTTTGCTACAAGAGCTTTTTCAAAAAATGTAAAGAAAGAATTGGTTACATGTAGTCCTAGGTTTAAGCATGTATTTTTTAAAAAATAATGAGGTAAAATGAGTTAAACAACTTAGTAGAAGGTTTTTTGGTGGGACAAGGCTGATTTTACAAAAAACTAATTTTTCACTAATTACAATTCAGTTAATTGGTGACAATTCTTTAATGATCACCTCAACAAATCACACTTAGCTTACACTACATTAGTATGTAGAGATCATCTCAAGATCATGGTCATTCATATCTACACACCTTGCTAGTGGTTTTTACCAACTGTGTTTACCTGTAAACTTGAACAACGTTTGAAGGCTTAGGTTTAATTTTTTAACCCAGCATGAATGATTAGAGGGCAAGATTAGGTTTGCAAAAAAAAAAAAATACAGGTATAATTCAAGGACTGTGAAAAACATAGGGAGTGGAGATTAATGAGTTAAAAAGTCAATACGAGGAATTCAATAGGGGACTGACACTCAACTTATTTGCGTAGTTTCTGGATTGATCTGTTATTTGAATTTTAAAATACTAGGATGGGCTGGAGTTTTTCGTAAAGAAAATAACAGACATTTGGGTAAGGCTGGCTTAGCTATACTACAGTGTTAGGGTTTATGTTGGTTGTTTAAGTAATGATTACAGTGTTGGTGGGATGTGAAAAAGCAAACAATATTACATTTAACAGTGTTTATCATCACTTTTTACTAAATAAATTGTAATGCATTAAAAAATAAATTTATAAGTTATATATAGGCAACAGAGTGGATTTTAAAATATTGATCTTACAGTTATTCTTGGGTAGCCTACTTAAAACAAAATATAAACAAACATGCCCATAGAGAACTAAAGCAATGAAGACTCAGTGCTGCACTATTTACACAAATATTTGTTCAGCTTTCACAGGCCTTCACTACATTTGGCTAGCAGTTAAAGAGGATTACTACTGAATGGAAAATTTTAACAGGGAGATTTGGCGACTAACACAGCAACAGTCACAAAACAAGGTGGGTCACTCATTGACCGGCCAGGTGAAGTGAACAGAGAGAATACTTACATGACAACAGAGAGAATATTTACACAACAACAGAATACTTACATGACAACAGAGAGAATACTTACATGACAACAGAGAGAATACTTACATGACAACAGAGAGAATATTTACACAACAACAGAATACTTACATGACAACAGAGAGAATACTTACACGACAACAGAGAGAATACTTACACGACAACAGAGAGAATACTTACACGACAACAGAGAGAATACTTACACGACAACAGAGAGAATACTTACACGACAACAGAGAGAATACTTACACGACAACAGAGAGAATACTTACACGACAACAGAGAGAATACTTACAGGACAACAGAGGGAATACTTACAGGACAACAGAGGGAATACTTACAGGACAACAGAGAGAATACTTACAGGACAACAGAGAGAATACTTACAGGACAACAGAGAGAATACTTACAGGACAACAGAGGGAATACTTACAGGACAACAGAGAGAATACTTACACGACAAAAGAGAGAATACTTACACGACAACAGAGAGAATACTTACACGACAACAGAGAGAATACTTACACGACATCATCTTGTCGCCTGCTAGTGTTGCCAGCTGAGGAGAAGAAAGAATCTTTGCCCAGAGTATCTGATGAATGAAGTGTTCCTGAGTTATCCCCCTTGCTGGTTTTTTCTTTGTGACAGAGGTCAGTGAGAAGAGAATCCAAATCACTGGCTATGTTCCCCAGCATCTGAAAACAGAAATATTTAATAGTTTTAAATGATGTCTTTTGGTAATGTTTTGCTTCCATCAAAAAAAAAAAAAACTAGCAAAAAGATCTAAACATTATTTGACGTTAAAAAAAAGTCAAAATATTTTTTTTTATCTAAAAAAAAAACATTCTAGAGAATCCTAGATTGTAATAGGCCTATAGATTTAGAATCTAGATCTCTAGTAATAGTTTGTACTACTAGATCTAGATCTAGTAGAATCTAGATATACTAGTCTTGATTCTAGATCTGGTCTAGACATAGATCTAGATTCTAGTAACTACTTAGATCTAGATCTAGACTTAGGCTAACAGTCTAGGAGTTAAGGAGTCTAGTGGAGGAGAGTAAAAAGTTAAAGGTTAATAAAGCTACTCCTAAAAGCCTAGGACTGTCTACTAAGCGGTAAGCCTATATGCACTAAGTGGCTCTACCCTCTACGCTGAATTAAACTAAATCAATCTATTCTAGATTAGATCTATTTAATTTACATGAATAAATTTAAATGTCGCTGATTTTTGAAAGATGAATCCAAAGCAAAACTTCAAAATTTTGCCAGATTTTTAAAGAATTTAATACCAAAACTAAATTAGTTCCGGTTTAAAGTGTTTTTTTTTTTAAACTTAGAAAAACAAATAATTAAAAAAAAAAAGCTTTTAAGTTCTAAAAATGGTTTTACCCGAATTATATGCCAGTGAACTAATGAACTCAAATCGTTCGGCAAACTAGCATAGCGGAACCAGCGGACGAGACCCATATCTTTGGTTGAACACAATGAAAGATATTTTATTGGTCCATTCAATACTAGTAACCAAACTATCACGGGTCATTGGTCTAGTTTAGAAAAACATTTAACAAACTCACTCACCCATTACAAAAGGTATTCATTGTAAATAATTGTAAATGGGGTGAAATGTCAAGCTGCTTGAAACCACGATACTCGGGATTAGATATAGACTAAAAGGGTAGCTACAATGAGGGAAACTAGTAATTATATATAGCATATAAGATTATATAAATGCATGTATAGTTTAGTGAATAAGCCTTCACATGAAATATGGCCAGGGCTTCTTCCATATTTTTTTCTCCAAGGAGGAGGGGGGGGGGGGTGGAAATTGAAACTCCGGGAGGAGACTTTGCCGCTTTACCCCCTCCCCTTCCACCCTCCCCCACGAGATGCATTAATTATTTTTTAGAGCTAAGGAGTTGTCTTTTAATGCCATCAAACAACTTTTTGCATATCTCTATTTCATATCGTCACACTTTAATCACCGATAGCCCGTTTACTTCTTATTTAGCTTTTTATTGTTGCCATCTGGCATATCTTTCCTCAAGTTTGTCTACTATGACTACATCGTTTAGATGTGTAAAAGACTGGGGTGCGGGGCGAGTATAGAGACAATACGTCACAATCCATGATTACCACACCCAATTAGTGTTTTATGTAACTAATACTACCTTTAATTAGTGCGTCATCTCATTAACACTACCCGCTACGTAATACACATGGCTTGCGGTTGATTAAAACTTCGTAGGGTCAGCAGTAAATGGCGATGGAGGCTTGATAAAGTGACCTTCCATATGATGTATGTCTATCAGTATGTGCAGGGGGGGGGGGGATTAACAACAGGAAACGACGAGTGGTTGAGGGGGGGGGGGGTATTGACGGTCATTGTTTGGAGGAAGCTGTTCCTGACTGACACCTGTAAACTGTTCTGCTACCTTGAGAGGGGCGGGGTAATTAGGCTGGCAATCAATCATTAACGCAGAAAAAATGGCGAACGCTAGCAGATTTTTAAAAATCCAGATATACTAATTTGGAGCAACAGTGTAAAAAAAAATCTTAAAACCAACGGATTTTTCTGGCAGGTATTCGCTAATGTTTTACCCAGTGAAATGGTATTAAACTGTGAAAATAGAACCTGAATTACCTAAGAGTCTATGATGTCAAGTGGTTCGATGGGGTGGAGATTTGTTTTGTGTGTTACATCTATGGACAGGTTTTTGTTGAATCTATGGAAAGGTTTTTGTTGAATTTATGGAAAGGTTTTTGTTGAATTTATAGAAAGGTTTTTGTTGAATTTATGGAAAGGTTTTTGTTGAATTTATGGAAAGGTTTTTGTTGAATTTATAGAAAGGTTTTTGTTGAATTTATGGAAAGGTTTTTGTTGAATTTATGGAAAGGTTTTTGTTGAATTTATGGAAAGGTTTTTGTTGAATTTATGGAAAGGTTTTTGTTGAATTTATGGAAAGGTTTTTGTTGAATTTATGGAAAGGTTTTTGTTGAATTTATGGAAAGGTTTTTGTTGAATTTATGGAAAGTTTTTTTGTTGAATCTATGCAATAGTTGGGTCAAAAGATATTATTTATGTTTATAGGTGCACTACCATTAACAGATTGCAAGTTTTGAATGTATTTTAAGTAGACCAACATTTGACAGAGGGGGGGGGGGGGGGGGTTCAGAGCTGCTTATTTTGTTACTGCAAGTAGGGGTCATCAATAAGAGGGGTCAGATCCAGACACTACCAAGATCATCTAAAGACTACAAAACGTACGAGTAAAGAAGACAGACATGGTATTTACTAATTGAGGCGGAGGAGGGGGGGGGGTATTCGAAGCGATAAACCAGGCTTATGTCAATTAGGAAGTTTTGAAGTAGAAGTGTGCTACAAGCTAGCCGTAGGACTTAAGGCAATGGTGTGTTTGGAATAATAAAGCTCAAACGTAATAAATTACTGTAATATTTTTTTAGACAACGAGAATAATCATAATAATGTTCCTACTTCAAAGCATTTTCTTTCTAACCCATACGCTCCTCCCAAATTTCATCAGAATGATCATTTAACCATTAGCAGAGAAAGATGCATTTCTTCAAAAACTGCAAGCGATGGTAAAAACAGCTCAGATTTTAATTGCTTAAAATAACAATCACAAACGCGGCCAAACTGGCAGGTGAAATAAACACAGCAGGGCTTTAAAAAAAAATCCTAAACATTTACGCTGAAAAAAATATCTTAAAAAAAAAAAAAAAAAAAAAAAAAAAAAAAAAAAAAACACATGAAAATGCTCATTATACAGGTCTACAAAGCCAATAGATTTTAAGCCTGGATCTCTGTTCATAATACTTTTTTAAACATTTATTTTGGCCGAGGTCTATACACCTTTTATTACAGTTGGTATAGTAGCACCTGTCAATATATTCATATAACATTTATTATAAAGTTGATGTTACACGTAGACCTGGATTTTTTAAAAAGATATCAGATCTATATGTTATCAGAACACATTGTTCAGATGAATCTACATGCAAGCCCATTATATTTCAAAATGAAAACCGCAAGAAAAACACTGTAATAAAATCTGACAGCCTTCATTACAACGTCATATTTCTGGGCTCGCATTATTAACATTGTCGTTTATGGTTCATGTGACGAGGTAGGGGGGGGTGGTACCCCAAGCCGAGCGTGTGACCCCGTGACGTCAACATTCATTATTAGCGCCATCTTTTGTGTGTTTGTTCAATTATCCCGCCTGACAACGGGAGCCATTCACCTCACGACATGGTCGTCTGCAGGAATCCGACAGGAATTTCCCCATCATTTCCCCGGTACATTGTTTGTTAAAAACAGACTGGCGAGAATGGTATCATCATAACGGCGGGACCGTCTTACGCTGTACACACACATTTGTTCCACGCCTATTGAAATGTTTTTTCGGCATGTAATGTTGACGTTATTAAACTGAACTTATCTACCGTGTGATTCCACACCAGTAAGCATCAATTCCACCCTCTCTGCTCCTCTCTCAAACGTCATTCATCATACAAAAAGATGGCGTGAATTATTAACTAGTTGGTGATTTTTAGTGTACAGGATGGCGCCCATGGTTACTATCCCCCCCCTCCTTTTCCCCATAAGCTGAAATAAATTGTAGCGCAGAAGTCTAGAAATGCTCCAAGATGTGTATCTAATCTTCTGGTTATCATGAGCTTAACAGTGTTGGGTTAATGAATCATCGTGTGCCATTATTTTTTAATCAATAAAAAAATCGCATTAAAAATCTGGATGCTTTTGAAAAAAAAAAGTTTCTCTTCAGATGTCCACGTGAAGCATTGCGACTGTGTGGACAAAGAAAATTCGAGAAATTATTGACCGTGTTGCTGTAGCTGGGGTGGGTAGGGAGGATGTTGATTGTGACGGGAGACTAGCGACTTGCATGTTGGCCTGCAGAGTTCATTAATTAATTATTTTAATCCTGTTTCATTCATTAAAAATTCATTCAGATATTTTATTTCTTTTAAAGAAGCTATTAGTTTATTTTAATCCTAATATTATTATAAAGAAAACTAAATTGATTTTTTGTGTCGTTTTTACTAAGTCGTCAACGAGTTTGTTTAACCAATGAAATCAATAAGAAGAATAAAAAACGCTAAGCAAGTTTAAATAAGAAACGAAATATCACTCATAATTCTTGTAGATGGCTGATTTGTAGCCATTAGTACACGATTAGTACATTCCTATTGAGTGTACTAATCATTTCTAATCCTTATATAACAAAGGGGTTGAGGAGGGAGATATTTTTAACAAAATGCTGCAGCTGTGTGACAATAGACTGGTGAAGAGCTCCACCAAGAAGACTATTTGAGAAACGCTGGGAACACCATTAAAAATAAACACCACGGTATGACACCTTCCTACCACCAACTGTGAACCATGTTGCACGAGACGTTTCTATCCCCACGATACTACTAGCTATGTGAACTTTCTGCTCACCAACAAAGGGACAACACTCGTTCTTTTCATGACCCAGAATCCTTAGCTGTTACTACCCCCCACCCGTGCAAGATAGGGGCGTAGGGGATGTAAACTTACCCCCCCCCCTTCCACACAACTAAACAAACAATCCCTTAGACGATAGGCCCGGGTCTATATCTGGAACAAAGGCAGGTGTGAGCCGGGCTCAACGGGCTCATTAGCAATTTAAC